CAGTCAGCAGCCTTGACCCTCTTCTGGATGCAGAACTCAGAGGAAACTGCAACAGAGGCATTTTGAGATGCTGGATCATCTGGGCCATTTGTTTTCATTGGTATCTGGTCTCCTCATCCTGAAAATGCATACAGTTTTAAAGGTAACATACATATCTGCATTAATGCAAGTATAGATTATACATTGTACATAAATCAGCCAAAGAAAATTTCTTGTCATGTGTTTGAGCAGGTAAGATACATATCATGTGTCTTGTAGTTCTTTCAGGTTTTTATGTCTGTAGTCAAAATTTCAGGGGGTCTTCCTCGATCAAATCTGATCATCTTTAATTTTGAATGAATCCATTGCCTTTTATTTCCTGTAGAAACAAAAACATAACCCCTCTCCCAAAGTGGCATACCTTTGACTTAAATTTTGGAGTCAAGATATTCTTTAAAGTTATGTTGGTTTAATTCAGCAGCTTTTATAATCAAATGTCTCCTAGTAGTCAAAAATTTTAAAGACAGCACAATAATACATAATCCAGACTTTCTGTGCATTTTCCATCCTCAAGTGGCTTGTTTTCTTTGTATTACTTTACTCCCCTTTCTAAGGACTTTATTTTACTGTTTTAAATCTATATTTTAATTTAAGGCTGTATATATATATTTTATCTTTTCTCTCTCAAGCCCAAGCACATCTTTTAAACACACCATGACCAATTTAGAGGCCTTTCTATCTGAATCTGTTTTTACTGTGTTTCTTAACCCTATTTTCTGTATGAACAAAAGCTAAATCTGCCCTACAGCATGCTGCCAAAGCTTGTGCTGATAGCTTAAGCATGCAGGCATTGGCTGGGAGAAGCCTCTCGGTACTGTGGCCCCTATGAGAGGCTCCTGCAGAAACCCAGCACATGACTTGGCTCATGGTAGTAGTTGGTGGCCAGCTCCATTTCCCAGGCACCACAGCTGGCATGAGAGTCTAGGAAGCCCAGTGTGGCTCTTTTTTTTGTTAAAGCTTTCTCAGATTTTATGTGGATGTATGGGTAGCACGTTGAGCACCAAATGTAAATGGAGACTTTTCTCTGTCCTGCCCGTTCCTGTAGCCATTTCCAAATAATCATTCAGAGGCTTAATGTTACTTATAAATGTTTGGCCAGTGGCTCAGGCTTATTGCTAGCTAGCTCCTACAATTAAATTAACCCATTTCTATTAATCTATATATTGTCACATGTCCATGGCCTTTACCAGTCTCCTGGCACGTTGTTCCTTGGGCGGCTGGATGGCGTCTCCCGACTCTGCCCTCCTTCTTCGGTAGCTCTACTTGGGTTTCCTACCTGATCCCATCCTGCTTTTACCATAGGCCAAAGCAGCTTTATTTATCAACCAACAAGAGCAACAGATATTCACAGCATACACAAGGACATCTCACATCACTCCCTTCTCCCCTCTCTTCCCTTTTTTCTCCATGCCCCCACTCTTCTTTCCTGCATTCTTTTATTTGAAAAAAATATGTAATGTACAAACAGGCACAAAAAAATAGAACAAAAAACTCTGAATTTTCAATATCCAAAACAAGCACCTGTCTCATTTGGTCAGATTTGCTCTCAGAATTCTAATTTGTTTTCTTTCCCTTTTCTTTTCAAAAAGCTGGTTGATAGGATGAGACTCCCAATCATTCTGGCATTTTCTTCACTCTCTGCTCTCTGATGTATTCACTTCCTGCCAAACCCCTGTGCTGTGAAACTGGGGTGTGTCTCTGAACAGTTCATTCTTTGTATTTTCACATATGTATATGTACATCCACAAGATACACATGACTGTGTTAGTGTGCTTTAAGTGTTTTTTGTTGCTTAGTGATTATTTATGAAGAGAAACATGTGTACTGATGTATGTGTATAGAACCAGCGGATTTCTTTTAAGGGCTGTGCACTGTTCCATGGTACAAGTGAAGCAGACTTCCCTGACTCATTCCCTTTTCAGGGTGAGCTTTTAGGTCATTGCTAAGTTTTGTGATACTAAAACAAGTGTGAAGATCCTCTTCCTAGCATGTGCCTCCTCCTCATATGTATGTTCATTGAGCCCTGCACATCTACCTGGTAGAATCAGTACGGATAGACTCTGCAGTGACGTTTTGACAAGTACAATAAAAGCTCTCACTAGAATAATGTACCAGTTCGTGATTCTTCCAGGAGTAATCGGAATATTACATTATTTTCCTCACATCTTAGACAACATTGAATTTTGCCAGGCCTTTTCATGTTAACTACTTGGATGGAAGGAAAATGAAATCTTATTATTTTAATTTCCTTTTTCTTCCTGACCAGTGACTGATCTTCTTACATTCATGATCCACTGTCCTTTCTTCTTTGAATAACCCCCATTCCTCTGTTGTGCTCTGCTGTCTATTTCTTTTTTTTTTAACTTTAGAAGGTTTCTTATATGTTCTGATTTCTTGTTCCCTGTCTGCCAAATGTGTGCCCTGTGTCCACCAAGGCATGACTGGCTCACAGGAAGGTCACTCTTCAGATGCTGAGATTGTCTTACTATCTAGCTTAGTCCTGCATCGTTGAGAAGTCAGGCGTAAACCTCTGCTTCCAGGGTGTTGCCAGTCCTTTGGATCTGCTGTCCGGTCCCCACTGTCTCCACACAGACTGGCTGCAGTTTTCTTCTTCAGGTTTCCTAGAGAGGCTACTCAGTGACTTACCTCCAGTTTATTCTCACCAAAGAGTCAGAGAGACCTTACTACAATGCAAGTCAGCTCTTGGTTCACCTCAAGGCAGAACCTTACTTTACACCTTGCACTAAATAAAAGCTTGGGTGACAGCAGGGGTCCAGACCCCAGCTGCTGGACCTTGCCTTCTCATCCCACCTCTCTTGCCTCACTGTAGCAGTCATACTGCTTTCTCTCCCAGTACATCAACATTCCCGGGTGCATTCTGCACCCTCTGCTTGGAAAGGTCTTCATCCCAAGCTGTCTTTCTGTTTTCTGTATCTCATTCAGGTTTTGCCTGAGATATTCATTCCCAGTGAGATCTTTCTTAATTTCCTTGTTTAAAAAATGCAGACACCTCCCCAAATTCACTGTGCTTATTTCTTAGGGTGGCATTCAAAACATACTGCAAATTGAGAAGCTTACAACAGAAATGCTTTTTTGTCTGGTGGCTCTGGAGACTGTCACTCTGAAATCTGGACCATGCCCCCACCCCCGGGGGGGGGATCTCCCAGGGAATGGCTGGGGGTGGGGGTGGGGTGGCCTCTTGCTGACTTATTGTGACTTGCTAGCAAACAGCATCCTTTGCCTTGCAGCAGCCTCACGCTAGTCCCCATCATCATAGGGCATTCTCCTGCTGTGTGGCTGTCTTCACATGGTATTCCTCTTAGATGTAAACACTCCTACTAGATTTGGTCCATCTTATTCCAGTGTGACATCATCTCAGCCTTTGTCTTCAACTACTCTACTTCGCTCTCTGGAACTGAAAAATAGGAATTCAGTCTCTCCCTCCCTCCTTCCTTTCCTCCCTCCCTCCCTCCCCTCCTCCCTATCTCCTACCTTGGGCAGGGAAGAGGGAGGCAACAACATTCTGCAGAAGACTCAGTGACATATAATCCACCCAGGAAGTTGCCATCCTTACTTTATCTGTCTGTTTTCCCTTATGAGATATCTGTAGAATGTGAAGCTATTGTGTTCAGTGCTGTAGAGAACACTGCCTGGGGACTCTGTAGTCTGTAAGTGTTTGCTGATGATGGATGACTGATTTCAGTCACAGTGTGAGCAGAACAAGTAACATGATAAGGAGCAAAATAATTGGATTTTAAAAGAGGAAATAATGACCCTTATACAAAAATCACAGAAAATGAACTAGTGTCTGTGACTATGGCATGTTTTATTTCAAAAAAGGGCCCATGAAGGAAAAGCCAAGGTGGAGATTACAGCAGAGAGGGGGTGACCAGTTGGGGATGTCATTGAGTCATTTGTGGGCAGCAGAGTCTGTTGACCTCTTAGTCACTTTCACACAATGAAAAACATCCTGTACTAAATGCATCTCTCGTATTATTATGCCCATTTGACAGGGATAGAATGAAAAGATCAGGTAGACTGAGCAGCTGTGCAGGACCTAAACCTAGTAGCTGTATAAAATGCCTGTTCTCCTTCGTGCTGGCTAGTTTATGTCAACTTGACACGAGCTAGAATCATCCCGAGGAGAGAAACATATCCATAAGACCTGTAAGATCTGGCTGTAGGCAAGCCTATAAGGCATTTTCTTGATTAGTGACTGATGTGGGAGGACCCAGCCTGTTGTGGGTGGGGCCACTCCAGGGTTGATAGCAGGCCAACAAATTATGAGGAGCAAGCTAGTAAGCAGCACTCCTCCTGGTCTCTCCATTAGTTAACGCCTTTCGGTTCCTACCCTGCTTCAGTTCTGGCCCTGATTTTCCTCAGTATAAGATGAAATGAAGCTTTTCTTCCCCAAGTTGATTTTGGTCATGGTGTTTTATTACAGCAATAGAAACCCTAGTAAGACATCTTACTTGTAATCAGTTGCAGTTGGTACTAGTATTTCAAAGGAGAGGAAGTTAAATGATCCACAAGTGACTCTTCAGTGGATTTGACATAGAATTCCACAAAGCTAGAGAAGTATTCTCCTGACTGTAACCTGGGTCAACCTCATTGTTTTGTACAATAGAAATTCCAGTATTAGGACTGTCTAATTTGTGAGGAGGCCAGATGGTGCATTTAGGAATGCCCAGGGGTGGGAATCAGAATATGGACAGCTAAAGCACCATTCCGACCCTGCCTTTGTGTGGTACTACGTGAAACAGCATCACTCCTCTGAGCCCTATTCTCCTGTAGAGTAATGACAATGGTATTGAAGCTGCATTATGCCTTTCTAGACCTTTAAACAGTTCCTGATGCAGCCATGCCAGCTCAGTGTTCTTCACGACTGTTTTCATGACGTGCTGTCTAGAAGCTGTCCAGCTTGCTGCTGAGTGATTATCTGAACTTCTTCATCTAGGTAGGCTTCCTGGGACAATTTGCTCGGTCACTCCTGCAAAAACTTTTCATCTTGCACTGAGGACACCAAGGAGGCAGCACTCGTGTGAAAGGTAGTGTTTGCTTAATTTCATTTCTTTTTAAAAAAACGTGGTAAATTGACTTACTGTAGGGATGTCCTTATGGTATTAGTCACGTTCTTTTTCATATAAATAGAACTTTTATGATGGTGTTTACAGCTAGATTTCCTTAGAGAACCTACCCTCTCTCTGCTTCTATTTGTAGGGGCCATTTTAAAATAGGAATATAAATATTATGTCAGCTAAATAAAAGAATGATGGGTTGCCTTTCTGAAGGATAGTGTTGCCCCCGCTTCCTATGAAGTGCAGGTGAACTGTCACCTGACTGACATGCCATTAGTTGTTCTTCACCCATTCTGTTGGCACACATATTTAATAATTTTTATGTATGAAAAGAAAGGCTAAATAGTCACAAAGCCACATTTTAATGCCTTGTGTGACTTTGACGTTCAGGCAAACTCTTCAGTAACTTTTTCCTAAAGCCTTAAGTCTGTGTAGTTGTTGTTAGTTTTATGAATATCATTTGGACACTGGTTTACAGTTTCTAAAATGTTTTCATGTGTCTTATTTTCTTAATTCATAAAAGAGTATATTATAAACTGTGCTCTCGTATCAGAGTGGTCTTGAAATTTATTTGGTTAAATAAAAGGTAGCTTAGTTAAGAGAGAGAAACTACAAATAAAGCTCTCAGCCTTCAAAGAAACTAAAACCAGAACTTCCTAGTAACCAAAGAATGTTTCATCTTAAACCCCAGCATGTTGTAAAACACACCTTTGACCTCTTAATTTCCCTGTTCTACAGAGGGAGAAGGGAATTAAAATTGAAAAGAAACACAATTGAGTTTAAATACATTCTAATAAAAAGAAACTGGAAATGGGGCAAAGGACACTAGGTCAAGCAGTTTTCTTTAGCTTACTATACTTCAATTAACCTCAGGGTGGATGGATGATGGATACAGGTCACAATGTGTAGCCTAGGCTAGCTTCAAAGCTATGGTCCTCTTCCTTCAGCCTCCCAAGTGCTGGGATTACAGGCATGTACCACTAGGCTTTGCTTCACCTTTATTTCCTTCCTTCCTGATAGGGCCTTATGTAGCCCAGGCTGGCCTGGTACTCATATGTACCTAAAGATGGCCTTGAGCTCCTAATCCTCCTACCTCCCGCCCAAGTGCTAGGATTACAGGTTTGCACTACCATGCCAGGCTTTTGTAGTCCTGGGAGTCAAATCCAGGCTTCCTTTCATGTTAGACAAGCACTCAACCAACTGAGGTCCATCTCTAGCCAGCCTCAATTCTTAAATGAGTTTACAATCATATTTTCCCTGTTTCCTTCTTTGGATTACCTTAAAATGTACATAGAAAATGGAAGAACTTGGTTGAGAATTACTGATACTCTCCCAAAGTGTTGGACATTTGTTATTTGAAAAATACTCCTCTGATAATAGAAACAGCAGTTTGTTGGTTTGGCTTGGCTTTTTTTTTTAACTATAAGTACACAGCACTTAGTGCATTTGTATTTGGCAGTACTTGGGCTATTACAACTATGGCTGACTCAACCTGTCCATATGCTGGCCCAACAAGAAATGCTGGTTTTCTGTTTTTGTTAGGATACTAATTTCAAAACAAAACAAAACAAAAATATATCATATCCCATTTCCCAGCCAACATATATAAACTATCTTCTCTGTATTCCCTAAATTCTTGGTCATTTGCCAACTACCCTTGTAAGTAGTTCAGTTAATAGCAACCCACTACCTTGATTCTACTCTCCTAGAAAGGAGATTGGAGGGGTTGCTTCCTGTTTTGTTTGTTTGATTGGTTGATTGCAGTATTGGCAATTGAACCCAGGACCTCACACATGCTCACCAGACATTCACCCACTTGCTACACTAGCCTGAACTCACCACCTTAAGAGAACTTTTTCTATCCTCAGAATTGTTAGAAACTAAACTTGTGTGTAGTTCATTACTATGGGAAATGCGGTGACACTCTTGCTTCTCTCAAGCCTTCTCTTCTCCAATACAGAGCTCAGAAGGACAAGGTGGTGTCCCCCTTCAGGTCACTCCTCATAAGTGTCCTTCAAATGTGGCTCTTTGGAAACTAAAAGCTTCCCTCCACTGTTCACTCAGGGGCTCCCAAAGTGTGTAAGTGTGTGTCCTGTGATGACATTTTTTTTTTTTTTTGGTTTTTCGAGACAGGGTTTCTCTGTATAGTTTTGGTGCCTGTCCTGGATCTCGCTCTGTAGACCAGGCTGGCCTCGAACTCACAGAGATCCACCTGGCTCTGCCTCCCGAGTGCTGGGATTAAGCCTGGCTTAATGATGACATTCTTGGTATGAGAACTTTGAGGTCACCTGTGCATCACTGTCTACCTATAGCCTGTGGTGGGTGCTATGTCTCCTGTAAATACTACCAAAGACTCTTGACTACACTTTGAGAGGAAGCCGAAGCAATTCCAGTCTCCTTCACTTTTGGATGACAAATACAGCCAGCCATAGGTCATTTACCCACAGCATGAGACAGAGTTGAAACACACCACATTATTCCACTGAAGATTACCACTAATACATAGCATTTTCTTTGTAGTACCTTAAAAGATAAGACCTGAGCTAGGTGGTGGTGGCACATGCCTTTAATTCCAGCACTCAGGAGGCAGAGGCAGGTGGATCTCTGTGAGTTCAAGGCCAGCCTGGTCTAAAACATGAGTTCCAGGACAGCCAGGACTGTTACACAGAAAAAAACCTGTCTCAAAAAATAAAAGGCAAGACCTGGTTTCCATACAGTTAGCATATGTCTGGTCAGTGATCTCTGTAAATGTAATTACTACCTGCTGTATTCTGAATTACAGGATCTTGTACTGGGAAACAGATGGGTTAAATTTCCCGCCAGAACATTTTCTGAGTATTTGGTGCCAAGGAAATGGTCCTAGTTGTAGAAGACCCTAGTTTAAGTCCATTTTTTTTTCTGGCTGTGTTACCCTCAGCTTGTTATTTAATCTGAAGTCTACAAGCTACCTACAAAGTAAGAGTACAACTCCTATAGTGTTGGGAGAACAGTGAGATTATATGGCAGGCTTTCATAAGTTGAAAGCACCACCCAAATGTAAGGTCCCTTAATGGAAACTCTTTCAAAATTAAAAATAAAAGCATACCTATATTAACTAATGTGTGTGTGTGTGTGTGTGTGTGTGTGTGTGTGTGTGTGTGTGTGTGTGTGTGTATTACATATTATATATTCATGTCAAATGAAGTTTTATACCTAGTAAGGTTATGAGGAAATACATTGAAAATTTTGAACGTTAGGTTTTGATTCATGGGTAAATGCTGTATACATGAAAGGGAGAATCAGTTATTTCAGGGCAGTGGCTCTCTGTGGCTTTTCCTTTAAAGTCTTTCTGAGTACTCAGTTCAGGTCAATAAACTTTTATTGACCACTCATTGGGCCACACCCAGTAATGCACTCTCTGGATAGAGATAACTATGAATGCGCACTTGTAGCATGAATTCTAATTGGTCTTAATAATAAAAACCCAGAGTCAGATATAGGGGTAAATGCTGAAATATCAGAGAGACAAAGGAGCAAGCCACAGCTCCACCAACTCCTCAGCCTGAAAGGGGGTAAGCTCCTGTCTCCTCCAGCCTTGTATTCCTCTCTCTGCCCAGCCATATCACGTCCTGTCTCCACCTCCCTAGTGCTGGGATTAAAGGCATGAGCCTCCACTGCCTGGCTCTGTTTCTCTTTTAGACTGGATCAATCTCATGTAGCCCAGGGTGGCCTTGAACTCCTGGTCTTCCTACTTCTTCCCCCCAAGTGCTAGGATTGAAGGTATGTGCCACCACTTCCTGGCCTCTATGGTTAACTAGTGGCTAGCTCCACACTCTGATCTCCAGGCAAGCTTTGTTAGAGCACAAGCAAAATATCACCACACCTGCTCATCTTGGGGACTCCCAGTTCATACAGTCTTTCTCAGAGGTTATTGTTTAAACTGATTGAGTATGTCTGGGATAGAACAGCCCATAATTGTAATTTTCTGAAACAGTCATCTCAAGTAACTAGTGAGTAAGAGTTTAACTCTGCACTGAGAAAAGTTCAGAGGGGTTTCGAGTCTTTGTGTGTATAATAAAGGATACTGAACTATACAAATGTCCTACTCAAAGAACATAATAGTGGATTTGTCCTCTGCATTCTCTGTTGTTGCTGTTGTTTGAGACTTGTTCTTCCCATGCCAGCCAGGACATATAGACCAGGCCTGCTTCAAAACTCGGGGCAACCTGCCTCAGCCTCCCACTTTCTGGAACTAGAGGCATATGCAACCTTGCCTATTTGTTCCCTGGACTTTTAAACTGATTTTTATGTACCTATGTGAAATATGGGAAAGCAAGCCTGCAGAATGATACCCCCGGGGACCCTGGCATCACAGCTTGCAATAGCTCTCACCCCACTTTGCTCTTCCTCCAACACTTGTCCCATATTTCCTCCTCTCTGTGTATGTGTTTTTCTCACACTCTGGTTCCTCTTAGACTAGCAGTGCATCAGTGTCCAGGTGCTTCCCCTTCCTTTTTCCATTGCCAGCACCCCTAGACATGTCAACTTTATTCAAAACAACTTCTATCATTTTTCTAGGTACTAACGAGTACCAGTTAGTATTTTAAAAAGCCATAATGGGCTGTTGGTTGATTAATGACCACACACACACCAAAACAAAACAAAAAACCATAGGATCAAAACAGAAATCGAAAGTAATATTGGAGTCTGGGAGTGTGGCTCAGTTGGTAGAGTACCTGCCTAGCATACTTGAAACTCTGGGTTCAATCTCCAACACTGCATAAACCAGGTATAGTAGTACATTCCTATAATCACATCATTTAAGAGGTGGATGCAGAGGAATGAGAAGTTCCAGGTCATCCTCAGCTACATAATGAGTTCAAGTCCAGCCTGAACTACATGAGGCTCTCTAATTTAAAAAAAAATACGTTTTTTTTGGTGGTATATGCCTGAAATCCCAGCACTCGGGAGGCTGAGGCAAGAGAATAACT